AGTCAAATGCATACAATTGTTAAATGGTCCACATCTAAATCAGCACTTTTGTTCTACTACCTTGAAGCAGTAAGATCCAATCTATAGAATTTACAACTGGGACATGGGATTTCTACACCAAAGAAATAAAGATTCAGCGACCATGGCAAAAGAGCACCATTTGAGCACGATCTTGACACTTAACCCTGTTTGACATGTTAAAGTCAAATATAAGAGACAAAAACAACATTTAAGAGACAGTGAAACCTGGAAACTGGAAAATATAAACTCACGTTATGAACACGAAGCAAGTAACCCCAGCCATTTTATCCAGATGAGTTTACTGTTCACAGATTAAGGAATAAGTACATCAAAGATCTTAATTTTGACCTAAATATTCATAAAATAATCATTGCAACCAGCAGTGTCTCTTTTACTTGAAGAGCCATTTCTTTTGTAAGGACAACTTCCCTTCCAACATTTCCATTTGTGCATGATGTAAAAATTGTCCTCAGGCATAATAACAATGTAAGGAAACAGAATAAAGGAGAACACATACCGTTGTGTGATTCTACCATGCAAATGCTGGCAACACATATGTTGGATATGCATCATATTTGGCTGCAAGGGCCTGTACAGAAGATAAATCTGCAACTTGCCCAAAACTACTGATTCCAAGCTCAGTTGCATGGATCCCTCCAGTGATAAATGCTGAAGCGATTCCAGCCTCATTTGCACCCTGAATATCATGATGAAGGGAATCACCCATAGCTATAGAATCAGAAGCATCCACACCAACCATTGCCATAGCTGATTTGTATATTATCTGATGAAGGTTCAAAAAGGAGTAAATATAATCTTTGGAAGCCATTTCACTTCAACCCCAAACATGTGATGTAAGGATAAACTGCAAAGTTAGAAGGGAAGGAATATATTGCAAGGGAAATAAGAAACAGATCATATTACCTTATCAGGCTTCCCCATCAATTTCACTTCACCCCCAAGCTTTTCATATTTGGCAGCCAATGTACCTAAAACATAGATACTAGCATTAATCCATTAAACCAAGAAGCCATAAAGGGGATAGCTATAATTAGAGGCTGATTCTCACAAAGAAAAGTAGAACCCACAAAAAGGTACTTTGACACATGAACAGAAAAGAAACTCCGCTACCACAGAAAATGCTTAGGAGGCTTATGGTTCAAAGTTGCCAGCCTAGATGGTGTGTTTCCCTTTATATGGCATTGCAACATTCTACTTAAGAAGAATCAAACAAGTTAAATCAGACATCTTTACCAGGCATGATAATTAAAGCTCTAGCCTCGACGGTCACAAAGTCTGGATTAGCTACAATCATGGGAATCCTTTTAGAAGCGCATTGCTCCAATATTTTCTCAAGATCCTCAAGACTCACTGGACGGATGTTACCAGAAGGAAGCCCCAAGGCTTCAGTTCCATGGACCAAAACAAACTCAGCTTCTTCAACATTGTCCACAACTTTTAAGCTTAAACCCTATTAAAAGAGATTTTATCACATTAGCTATAAGTATCACAGCTCCCATTAAAAATGTTTAAGTTGTGAACTTTGCATGCAATCTAGAAGTAACAGAGAAGGTAAAACACTGCTAGTGCAAAAAATAAAGCATTTGCTTATGGCCAACCCAATCACTACATTTTTGTTGGATTTCAATAAAGCAGCGAACAAGGGAAGAGATAGAATGTAAAGTTACTTCAAAGGGCCATCTTATCCAAATTGCATTATGGTATTGGACTTCATACTCAATATATGGTTCACTCTTCACAGCTAACTAAGATGAATATGAATATGAATATGTTATGCCTGCATATATGTCCACATTGCATTAGTGTACATCTGCTGTGTTATATCCTTTATTTTCAGGAATTAGTATGTCAAAGTATTGTTACCCACCCAATCCTTATCTACATCACATGGTAGCACTGTGACATGCTGGCAGATTGTTTGAATTTAAACAAAAAATTAGAAATTCAAGAAGCATGAGTGTGAGCATCCTAAATTCCTAATAACCTCACTACAAGCATCTTTTTACATAGGAAGAATCATTTTGCATCTTATGTCCAATAATTTCTGGTCTCACAATTATGAGTGGCAAAGTTAATTCCCTCACATTCACCACCTTGTTAGCAGTAACCGTCTTTTCATTACTAAACTGCTAATATCCATAAAAGAAGAAAAAGGAGAGTTGAGACACAGGGTATTAAACACTTTGAAAACCCTATATCTTACATAAAATTATAAAGAAATCATCATAAAACAATCTAACAGCAGCATACCTCAAGAGATATAGCACCCGTCACTCCAGGTTATATGAATGCAAGACCTTCCCAGTGCTGCAAACCAAGGATCATCTCTCCTACAAATAGAAACCAGGAAAAACTTCTTGTGACGTCTAGTTACAAAAGTTCAAAGAAAGGCAACACATAAAATCATATTTACAACAGGATGTTTCATAAATAAGAAAAAGAAATGCTGAGAATAAAAAATAAAAAATTGTTTCAATTCTTAACTTTTAGGGTTACAAAAAACTATTTTGAATAAACAAATGATTTTTCTTTCTTTCTTTTAGGAACTTAATTGAATTAATAAATGGCTCTTTCTAAAATATGAACATTACATGGAGTAGTCTTAGATCAACAACTGAATATACACAATTTGCTAACCCAAAAATTTGGTCTAATTATATAATGCCTACTGAAAATAACACTTATTTTTCATGAAATTGGTAAACCTTTGCAAGTATTGATGTGTTAATTCTCCACTGGTGATGGCTCCTTCAAAAAGAGAGGGATCAAATCCAAGGGTCTTCATTTTGTTCATTGTTGTTGATGCACGTCTTGACGAATTACTTATAATCACCATCTTGGCACCATTGGTTGCCAATTTTTCTACTGTCAAGCCAGGAAAATATTTCTCTTAAGACTAAAAATCAATAGCATATCACCATCCAAAAAAGCAAACAATTCTTTCCGCTGAAAGGCTTACCAAAATGGTAAAACTGACAGATGGGAACATACATGTTGAAATTGCACCAGGATAAGGTTGTTTGCCATCGTGAAGGACTCCAAATTGATCTAAGAACCAGGCCTCCTCAAACAACAGAACAACAAGCTAAATGAATGCCAGTAAATGAAAATGCACATACTAAAAACCATACTATGAGGCTTGATACAAAATCATAAATTCACTAAGCAATAACCTACATTATGAGAAAGACAGTCCAAAAATTTTGTTTAATGGGGGCAATCCTACAAATAAAGTAAAATTTTTGCAAGAGAAAACAAAGATATTGCTTAAATATTAGGCAATTCTTTAAGCATTTTCCTTTTGGCATGTTCCAGTAGGGATAGTTGCCCCTCATTCGATCCATCCCTTTGAGTCAAGTTTGTACTTAGACTAAAAATCTTCAAATTCCATTGATTAAAGGCCATTCTTTAGTGCAATGGCAAAATACCAAATTTTCAACAACTAACATAAAAATTTACCGTCGGCATCCAGGTTTCTGGTTCGGGCAAAATTATTTGTGCTCAAAATTAAACATTTCAATAGTTAACAAAAATTCAACTGACAAATATATGGGAAGAAATCATGTAAGGATAGGTCCGAGGTGCCAAGCCTCGGACTGCTACAGTAATTCCTTTATGATCGAAGTGAGGAATAAATCCAAAGCTTCTCGCTCAAATGGCTGCATGACAAGGACAATAAGCATGCCCGCACTTGATTCCTTACGATGAGTGGCACAGCAAGTATGGTGGACGCTTGTGCATTTGAATACCTCTCAAATTCTCGGTCCCGGAATAATCGTCTGGATGAACACGTCAGGCTCCGATTATCTTGCTTGGCATGACACGTGGGTTCCTCATTGGATCCTATAAATACCCCCCGGGCCATGTAAAAAAGGTAATTGAAACCAACCCTAAGCTCTTTTTATCTCCGCCTTAAAGGTAGCCCCGATTATTGCTGACTTAAGCATCGGAGTGTCTACCCCGAGTTCCACCTCGGGGCTTTGCAGGTCATCTCGGAGTGTACGCGCGGACTGAAGAAGGACTTCTGGTTTGGTGCAATTGCATTGGCGCCGTCTGTGGGAATCGAACTAAAAGCTTTCTAGTTGTTCTTTCATCATGGTTCACACTCGATCAGTCTGAGCTGGTAATTCATCTTTGCCTCATGGGCAAGGTCAACCACCCAACAACCTTCCACCTCTGATCTCACCTCAAATCCAACCTTAGCTTCCACCTCAGGTCCCAACCATATTCCCTCCTGTTGATCAGGCAGAAGGAGGAGATGAAAACCAACCCCATACCTCAGCTCACAATTCAACTTCCACTGCCAACCAAGACGTGGTGACAGCTCAGCTTGCTGCCATGCAGCAGCAGTTTGGTGTTTTTCAGTTAGTACTGGCTCAGCTTCTAGCTAGATATAATCCTGGTGATCCCTTCATTAATTTACTAAACCCTGCTCAACAACCCCCAGCTCCACAACAGAATCCCCAACTGGTTCAACCTGCTCCCGCTATTAGCGAATCTCAGGATCAATCCCATATAGCACCCGTTCAGCAACCCATCCCTGATGATGTTACTCGCCGCCTCGATAGCTTGGAAAAGCTGATAGCTGAACACCAAGCTGCTCCACCCCCACACCATGCTGCTGATTCCATACCTCACCCCCTGAATACCAACATCACACTGGAACCCTATCCTATTGGCTTCAAAATACCACAACTAGAGACTTATGATGGGACGAAGGATCCCGATGATCACCCGCATGCTTTCTACTCTTGCATGCAAGCTCAGAATGCCTCTGACGCATTAATGTGCAAAATCTTCCCCTCTACTCTGCGAGGTAATGCTCGAACGTGGTATTACAGTCTACCTCCGAAGTCAATTAGTTCTTACACAGAAATGACATCTGCCTTTGCCACTAAGTTTTCTAGTAGAATGTTGATTAGGAAAATTACTACCGAATTGATGCGAGTTAAACAGAGGGACGGGGAGTCCCTAAAGAACTACATGAGCATGTTCAATGATGCGGTATTGGAGGTTAATTCCTTCGACCAAGCTGTGGGCATTGCAGTTGTAATCTTTGGTCTCAAATATGACAGGTTCCAAGACAGTTTGATCAAACATGTTGCCACCACCTTTAGCGAGGTAAATGATCGATCTCTGAAATTCATAACTGCTGAGGAACACGCCCTGGCGCAAAACCCACCTTCCTCTAAGAACCAGAACCCAGAATGGAGAGATGACAATCCGAGTCAGAAAAGGATGAGAATGGCGCAGAACCGAGGTCCGATGTTGACCTCCCCAACGAGATTCGGAAGGACGAACTCAACTCCTCCGCACCAATCTGCAGGTAAACCTCCAGTTAATTGGACTCCCTTTAATCTGCCGAGGTCACAAATTTTTATGCAGATCAAGAATAAAATGGATTTAAGGCGTCCTGGCCCTATGAAAACTGCTGCTGCTAGTTGAGACCACACCAGATATTGTGATTTTCATCAAAATCACGGCCATACTACAAAACAGTGCAACAGCTTAAAGTCCGAACTGGAAAGTTTAGCTCAGAATGGAATGCTAAATGAGTATGTTCAGAGAGTTGAACAGCCGAGGTTTATTAGAGAACAGAGGCCGCAACCTCAAGGAGTCCGCAATCCCCCAAACAGGCAAGGTGTGGGATATCAGCAAGCACCACCTCCACTCCCACCCCCAGCCAGAATCATACACATGATTACGGGAGGCCTTGAAGCAGGCGGACTGAGCTCTAAACAGCGGAAGCTGTATGTCAGAGAGGTTAAACATCAAAACCGATCTTAGAAGAGGAAGATTGACGATGCTGAGTGGAAGAATCAACCCATTACTTTCACATCTGCTGATCTCGATACAGTTGTTACACCCCACAATGATCCCTTGGTCACTTCTGTCATGATTAACAACTGTGAAGTACAGCGTGTCCTTGTTGACACCGGGAGTGCACCAGACATCATGTACTTCTACTGTTTCGAGAGTCTTGGATTAGACCCAGCATTGTTGCAGAAGTATGATGGTCCTATCTATGGTTTCAACAACCAGCCTGTTCCGGTAGAAAGAGTTCTTACCCTCCATGTGGCTTTTGGGAGTGGCAGGACCTATGTGACCCCGTCGGTCCGGTTCCTCGTAGTCAAGATGGCGTCCTCTTTCAACATTGTTATTGGTCGACCCACATTGACTGAAATCCGAGCTGTGGTTTCCCAGTCTCACCTCTGTATGAAATTCCCAACTCCTATGGGAATAGCAACACTGCGAGGAAACCAGGAAGTGGCCAGGCATTGTTATATCACCTCAGTAACACAACCCATGAAGGGCAAAGCTCAGACACCCGAAGCCATTCCCCAGCAAATTTCTGATAATCAACAAGATATGGGTGTTGAGATCGTAGATAATCGACCGGAAGACGAAACCAGAGCTGCTCCGGTCGAAGATGTTGAAGAAGTGCTCATTGATGACAGAGATCCGAGCCGAAAGACGCAGATCGGAACTAGATTGAACTCAGAGGAAAGGGCAGAGCTAATAGCTTTTCTTCGAGCTAATAATGATGTATTCGCATGGACTTCGGCAAACATGCCAGGAATTCCAAATTCAGTCTCTCAACATAAGCTCAGCACCAATCCATTGAAGAAACCAGTGGCCCAGAAACGGCGTCTCTTCGGGGGTGAGAGGCTTCAGGCTATTAAAGAAGAGGTAACGAAGCTCCTACAGGCTGGTTTTGTCAGGAAAGTTGATTACTGTGAATGGGTGGCTAACCCAGTCCTGGTGAAGAAGGCAAATGGCAAATGGCGAATGGCGAATGTGCATTGATTACACAAATCTTAACAACGCCTGCCCTAAGGATTGCTATCCAATGCCGAGCATTGACAAACTAGTTGAAGCGGCTTCAGGCAATGAGAGGTTAAGCCTCTTGGACGCATATTCGGGGTATCACCAGGTGCCAATGGCTCCAGAAGACGAAGAGAAAACCGTGTTCTATGCTGGTGATGAAATTTATTGTTATGTCATGATGCCGTTTGGCTTGAAGAATGCAGGTACTACTTATCAGAAAATGGTAACCATTGTCTTCCATGCTCAGATTGGCAAGAATCTGGAAGTATATGTCGACGACATTGTGGTAAAGAGCTTAAAAGTAGAAGACCATCTCGCCGACCTCGACGAAACCTTTAACAACCTTAGAAAGAACAGGATGCGGTTGAACCCAGCCAAATGCATCTTCGGAGTGGAGTTTGGAAAATTTCTAGGTTTCATGGTGTCCCAAAGGGGAATTGAGGTCAATCTAGAGAAGATCAGAGCAATTGCCGAGATGGAACCGCCGAAATCAGTGAAGGATATACAGAGGCTGATTGGAAGGGTGGCAGCTCTGCATCGGTTCATATCGAAGTCAGCAGATAAATGTCTGCCATTTTTCAAAATTATGAGGTCAGCCGCCCAGAAAGACGAGTCAGGAAAGCAAAAAAAGTTCGAATGGAGCCAAGAATGCCAAGCTGCATTTGAAGAGCTGAAGTCTTATCTTAGCTCACCGCCTCTGTTGACTAAGGCTGTAGATGGAGAACTTCTTTACTTGTACCTAGGGATTTCAGATAAGGCCATTAGTTCAGTTTTGGTGAGAGAATAAGCTAGGCAACAGAAACCAATTTATTATATCAGCAGCGTGCTGCACGGAGCAGAGTTGAGGTATCCTATAGATGAGAAAGCAGCATTAGCAGTTGTCACTTCGGCCAGGAAGTTAAGGCCATATTTTCAGTCACACCCAATTATCGTTCTCACCGATCAATCTCTCAGGCAGATTCTGCAGAAACCAGAGTGCTCTGGAAGATTAATTAAGTGGGTAGTAGAACTGGGAGAGTTTGAGATAACATTCCAGCAGAGATCGGCCATCCGAGCTCAAGCATTAGCAGATTTTATTATCAAATGCACTCCATGTCCTTCAACCTCTAATCCAGAACCCAACGACTGGATCTTATATGTCGACAGAGCATCTAGTAGCAAGGGGTCAGGGGCTGGCGCTCTCTTGGTTGGTCCAAAGGGATACCGAAGCGAACATGCCCTGAAGTTCAATTTCGATGCAACAAATAACATGGCTGAATATGAAGCTCTGCTACTTGGTCTACAGCTAGCATTGGAGTTGAAAATCAGTGCAATTCAAATATACAGTGACTCCCAGTTGGTGGTAAACCAAATTAACTCAATCTGTGAAGTTGTTGATCCTGTGATGGTGAAGTACGTAGCCTTGGTGGCCGAGCTGAAGTGCAAATTCCAGAAATTCTGTCTGAGTAAAATTCCCCGAGCTGAGAATGAACAGGCAAATTTACTCTCCAAGTTTGCCTCTGATGGCTCTTTAAGTTCCAGATCCGTTTTTGTGGAGGTCTTAGATGAACCAAGCTTCATGAAGCCTCGGATGATGGAGATTAGCACAAACCCTGACACACCAAGCTGGACTAACTCAATTATCTCCTTTTTGCGAGATGGAATGGAATAGTACCTGAGGAAAGGTAGGAGGCAATGAAGTTGAGGAGGAAAGCATCTCGGTATACACTTGTTGATGGGGTCCTCTATAAGAGATCTTTTTCACTTCCTCTTCTGCGATGTTTGAATCCCTACGAAGCCGAGTATGCACTTCGAGAGGTACATGAAGGTGTCTGTGGGAGCCACGTCGGTGCTAGAACTCTGGCTCACAAAGTCTTAAGGCAAGAATATTACTGGCCAAGCATGCACAAAGATGTTATTCAATTTGTTCAAAAGTGCCCGAAATGCCAATTCTTTGCACATTTGACTCACCAACCTGCAGAAGAACTCACGAACCTGGTAGCACCATGGCCATTTGCACAGTGGGGATTAGATTTTTTAGGCCCATTCCTGAAGGGGGTTGGTGGTGTAACTCATCTGATTGTTGGTGTGGATTATTTCACAAAGTGGGTAGAAGCTTGACCATTATCTAGTCTTACCTCCAAGAAGGTCGAAGATTTTGTTTTCAGTTCGATCATCTGCAGATATGGAATCCCGAATCAAATTGTAGCTGATAACGAAACTCAATTCAATTGCTCCTCATTCCGAGATTTCTGTTCCAGTTATGGGATCAAGTTACAGTTCACCTCCGTTTACCATCCGGAGTCCAATGGCATGGTGGAATCTGTTAACAAATGCATTTTGGAAGGTATAAGGCCGAGATTGGAGCAGCATAAGGCCAAGTGGGCAGACGAGCTCAACAACGTCCTCTGGGCATACAGAACCACAAGCCGAACTGCCACAAGTACTACTTTAAACCAAGTTTATTTGATTAATTTCTATAGTATTTCACTTCTTCTGTTACGATTTACCTTAGAGCAAATATGCATAATGCATAAAGCGCATTCTAAAGTTATAATTAACTAAAATAGGTGAAACACCCTACCACCTGGCCTTTGGTACCGAAGCAGTCATTCCTGTTGAAATAGGAGTCCCAAGCTTCCGAGTCACCCATTTCGATGAAGGACGAAATGGACAACTGCTTCGAGAAAACCTTGATCTGCTTGCTGAAGTCAGAGAAGAAGTTCGGCTTCGAACTCTTGTATACAAGCAGAAGCTAGCCAACTTTTACAATAAACGGGTTCGCCCTTGAACTTTCAAAGTAGGAGACCTTGTTCTCAGAAAAGCTGGCCTAACAGGGTTTGAAACTCGTTTTGGCAAACTCGCCCTGAATTGGGAAGGCCCTTATACCGTGGCCGAGGTGCCACATCCTGGCGCCTATCTTCTCCAAGACACTGAAGGAAAGAGAGTTCCTAGAGTCTGGAATGTTAATAACTTGAAGAAATTTTACCCTTAATACAATTCTTTCAAGAAATTTGTCTTACAGTTCTTACTTAATGATTATTGAGATTCATTTTATCTCTTATTCCATGTATCCGAGGTCAATCAGTACTTAAATCTCACTTCTGATTAATAAAAGTCACTTCACATGTGAAGTACTTTATTTCCTTTTAAGTTCGTTCACAGTGATGTGCTCATTCCTAATCTACATGGAAGTTATTTACTTCTTCTTACTTCGTCTGAAGTGACTTACTTCCCCTTAGTTCATTTCTGAAATGGTTGTCTTTCATCCAAATCACATTTCACACAATCTCAGTTCTTTTATTAATAAAACATAATACCAAAAATGTAAAGCAAATATAAACAAACACATGATTTCAAATACAAATTCTCATTTCAACTAAAATAACTATTACAAGCTGTTTAAATGTCTTTACAAAAAATAAAAAACACAAACAAAATTAGTTCTCTACTGGAGGAGGTGGCTCCACTGGCTCCTCTTCAGCTGGAAGAGGTGGCTGTCTTGGCTGCTGCTCGTCTGGCAAAGGAGGTTGCTCATTGTCGGAGGGAACTGGATGAATCTCCACTTCTGGAACTGGTTGGCTCTCATCCACTTCAGCTCCCTCCACTCCTGCCTCCACCTGGTCTTCCTTTACCTCTGCCCTTTCTTCCTCCACTACCACGAACTCGAAGTCGAACTGTGGAGGGAAAACAGCACGTCCGTTTGCATCATCCTCCCACCTCAGTTTGAT